TGACACCGCTCGTGCCTCAGGGAGCACTCACTGACACTAGCACTTTAAAGAATGCATCTGACTGCAATTACAGCAATTAATGGATGAATTTGACAGCCATCAAGTCCAGAGCCTTGTGCAAAAAGGCCTCCAGTGAGTAGTACGTCCTCGGAGCATACTTACACCAGGAACTTTTTACTTATTTCAGAGGTAATAGCGGTCAGATTCATCGAAGTCCTACCGTAAATGCGGCGACATACATTTAAGGGAGTGCTTGTGCGAGTACGCCCTCACTCTCCTCCTCCCTCCATGCAGTTGCACTTTTTTCTTTTTTTTTTAAAAGAAAATTGTCCCTTTATTACTCAATGAAAATTATTGGGCCGGCGTCCCACCATTCAACCCCGTAAAAGTATCTCACAGCATCAGCCAGCTTAGTTTTGTGCTTCAGAGCAGGGATTTAGACTGCAGTCTTCCCCCGAATACAACGTCCGGTCATTATAGCTGAATTTAGACCGAAAGATGCACCAAATTCGGCGATAATGACCGTGCGATGTATTCGGGGAAGACTGTAGGAACAACTCCGGTCCCAAGGACCTTTGCCCTGTTGGTCCTTCTCTGAGCAACAATAATAAAAAAGAAAACGAGAAAACAAAAGATTGCCTTCACGGCCTATAAAGCCACACACACACACACACACACACACAAAAAAAAAAAAAAAAAAAAAAAAAAAAAAAAAAAACGAGTTGCACGTCCTTCCCTGCCTGTCAACAGCAGACAACTATTTTTTTTTCCCGGAAGAAGACAAAGATACGGATGAAGATAAAGATAAGATGAAGATAAGATAAAGACAAGGATAGTTAAAAAAAGAAAGAAAGATGAAGATAGGATATGGTAGGGCGACTCCAAGTGCACTCCTGGCAGGAGACCTTGAAGTAGTGCTTGGAACGACGATGGTTTCATCATTTTGGACACTGCTCGCAGGAGTCTTTGACGGAGAAATCGAGGTCGGAGCCGTTGGGCGACCCCACGTGCACTCCGACTTGAGGCCGCTGCTTGCAGAACAGAAGCCTTGCCTCGTAAGTCACCCAACTATAGTACACGTGTTCCACCTCCCTCTTCCCTCCATCCTCCGATATCATATAGTTCCCTTCAAATTGACAGTAGCACAACGTAGCCGATGCGTCCTCAGCGCTGACGGCACCACCAGAGTTATTCACGAACGAAGAGYTTATAAACSTAAGGGAGCCTATGAACACAGACACCGCACCTCCCGCATTGGCCGCAAACTMGCATCTTTCGCCGTCCACCGTTGCTCKATATAGAGAGATCACCGGCCYACCTATGTTCGATCGAAAGACGACCTCCTTCRGATAGACATTACCAAACATACCGCCAATCACCGTACGGTTGTTGCCAATAAACATGGAGTTTTCGATGGTGACRGTACCCRTGAACGCGCCAAAAAGTCCACCTYGGTGGTCGCCAGTGTTGTTTTGGAACASGCAGTTCTTGACAACGATGGTGCCCCCGACGGCGATGACGGAGCTCACGTCCTCTTTCGAAAGAGTAAAGTGGGACATCAACAGGTTCTGCAGCGTCAGGATGATCAGCTCCTCGGAGCCGGCAAACCCGCCGAACCGCTGTCCACCGTCGATCTGGCAGAGCCTCGGCTGTCCGGAGTCTGTCGTGCAGTTCCCGATGACTGTCAGATTAGGGCAGGTCACGTAGGGAAGATCAGACGTCAGACGRATGTCAGATGTCAGTCGCACAATCGTCGTGTTGGGGTTCKTCATCGCCGCTCGTAACCGAGCTTCAGCTGTGGGCGTCGAGGTGGACAAGCYGCGACCTGCCTCGGTAGCTGCCACGCCGCCCGYAGMGGCTTTCACGCCGCYGCCATAGCCGTCCAAGCTCAGCAAGACAAGCAACAGAAGCACTAGTGGCTCGCACGCCGTGCYTGTACRCAAGGTCGCCTGGCCTCCTGCCATAGCCTCAAGCAAGCACGAGTACAGACTCGGCAACGAGCGCCTGAAGGGGCAAATGTGAATCTCAACAATGGTGGAAAAGAATGCGCACTATCAGAGTGTGGCGTACAGGAGAAAGGAAGAAAGCGTGTAGTGTGGCGATGGTAGAACGAACCGAAAGAATTGCTGCTTCCCTGAATGTAACAGTCACTATAGCCTAATGATATTGCGCTGATGATAGGATCTCGGCAGTGGACATTTTTTATTTTCTATTTCTGTTCCTCTTTTTCTGTTTTTTTTTTTTTTAATTGGCCCAATGGACCACGGTTCGGATATCAAACTGATTGGATCAGATACTAAACTCATCAAAACAGATACTGCACTTTATCTTAGCCAAAAGGCCGAGAAAGGTATTGGGCCTCGCTGCGCTACTCTAGACTCTCGAATTTTCAAGAGTGGGTGGTGGCTGCACTTCGCCACACCTATCCCGAAACATGAAAATGTTCCAGAGAGCTCTCGAACTCTGGAAATCGCGAAAACCAGTTCGAGAGGCCTCATCCCCGCACTGCGCTCTCGAAGGGGGCGCGCTCCGCTGTGTCGGAAAAGACCTGCGTTTTTTGAGAGTGCAGTGTGGCGGTGCAAGGGCCTTGCTCCACTACTGCCTGAATGTGCAAAATGAGAATGAATTTTCTCCTAGACCATGGAAAGATACACCGCCATATTTTTTGTCTTTTGTGCATGTGGTGAGTAGTGGACAGAGGCCTCGGTTCGAGAGTCTCTCGAACCAACTCGACAAAACGCTGGCCGCAGATGGTTGTCCGTCGCGGCACACTCTCGAAATTCAGGCCACAATCGGAGGTGTCGCAACTTTGCTGGCGGGGCAACGACCACAGTTCGCGAGCACTCCTGAAAACCGAGTTCTGGCCACTCTCAAATTTTTTTCTGACACCGATTTTGGAGAGTTGGTGTGGCGGTGCATTTGCTCTCCAAATAGGTGTTTTCCGGATAGGTGTGGCGAGGCCCTTACTCCCGATCGGGTCAATCGGGAAACTCTCGAAACCCAATAGAGAGCTGTCAGAAGGCACCAGATAGAGAGCTGTCAGAAGCCACGCTATAAAGAGACTCTCGAGACGTCAAGAGTAGCCTGCCTGCAAAACACGAATTCGCAAGTGTCCTCGGGAGTTGCCCGCCGACTGGCTCGTTTTTTTGAGAGTGGACCTCCTGTCCCTGCGGGCAGACCAGCCTGGCGTTGTCCCGTAGAGCAAAACACGAATTCGCAAGTGTCCTCCGCAGTTGCCCGTGGACGGGCTCTTTTTTTCGAGAGTGGACCTCCTGTCCCGGGGCTAGGTCCCACTTACACGAATTAAGCGATATTGACCGTAGATCGCAAAGATCAACGGCCAGAATCTCTTAATCCGTGCAAGTGGGACCTTGCCCTCGGCGGGCAGACCAGCCTGGCACTGTCCCGTAGTGTGGCGGTACATGTCTTCTGTCTTGTCTGACGACGCCGCGGGTTTCGAGAGTGCACCTAGTGTAACAGGTTCTACAGTAAGTGCAGCCACGGTGGGTATTTCGAGAGTCTCGTCTCTCTGACAACGCTAGTGGAACTCTCGAAATATTTTGAGAGTCGAGAGTAGTGCAGCGAGGCCCATCCTCTAGTACCCAAGAGCCTAGCTCAGTGGGTGCACCCATGAACTGTTGAAAATATCTAGTACCCAAGAGCCTAGCTCAGTGGGTGCACCCATGAACTGTTGAAAATACAGAACCGTGTTCGAATCCAAATGATGGAACTTGACGAGTAAAGTTGTATAACCAACTATTTCCTCTCTTTTTTTTGTCTTTTTTTTTTTTAATCAACATGGGCCCAGTGCCCAAGGCTTATATTTCCAATAAGAATCTTGAGGCCGGGATCCTCACAGTCTACCCGGGAAAGGAAAAGGCTGGGAGCATTACCCAATTTTGCTTCTGGGGCATTGCCCCGCAGGGGACCAACCCCCTCGACTCATTTGGAGGACAGTCACTCTGTAAAAAGCTATCCAGTTTCCTTGCCTTGAGGTTAGGATCTGGAGCTCAGTGGTTAGAGCACCGGTTGGAAATGCGCATTGTGGTATGAGGTTGCGGGTTCAAAACTCCGCAGCCTTGCGCATGGATGTGACACACAACCTCACGCCCCGCGCTGCTTTCCGTTCGGAGTGCTAAGGGTGCAGAAAGGAGGCCCCGAAAAACAGCAAGATGGGGTGTGCCAAGGATTTTTGGAAAAATTGAGTGTGGGGACACAGACAGAACTGAAATCCCCCGTGTTGGTCTGATGAAGTGAGCGATCTGGCAGGTTTCGCCGCGCGCAGGACTCGTCGCGCGGGGGAGTTTTGAATTAAATCTAAAGAGTATTGTCGGACTTCCTACCGGGCCACGGCTCGTCGTTTGGAGTGGAAGGGAGCGGGCACGTGTTTAGTATCCCGTTTTCGCACTATCTCCCGACGCCGCACGCAACACAATTTTGAATCCGACGTGGATGGTCTCAATCGCACGGCCCTTTCCTTGTGCTTGTCCTCATTCCGCGTTCGGTAGTGGAACCCCTTCGATTGGTAGTGATCGAAACGTTGGCAATCACTACACAAGGTGTAAATCCAATGGGGTGCCACTGCCGTGCACAGGATGACGATCAACTCGTTGAAGGGTAGTAGCAGCGAGTACGGCGGAAAGTGCGTATCCACAATGACAAACCCAGCGCCTACCAACCCAAAACACCGATTTTCACGAGGGAAATAGTACTGCCCACCGATCTTTGCGATGGTTTATCGTATGTCTCACTCACAGATACGCGTCCTGTCCTCATTATATGGAAAGGGACGAAGAGGGGATACGGGAGGTTGTCGCCTAGTCGGGTTGAGCCCGTTAGTCCACATGGCAAACAGTCAGAAATAATTTAACCATTCATCACGTGCGTGCAATTCTACTAATCCAGTCGGAAAGGCCAAACAGGAGAAACAGAGGGTGTGGAGAAGGAGAAAAGGAAACTCATGTGTGGCGAGACGGGGTCGCAATTTTTGCGCTTCGGGCGCAAGTCGCATAGGTATTCGCAGCATTCCTTCGACAATCATCAATCAAACATTCCTGTATTTCCAAATCCCAACAACATTGCCCCTGCCATCGCCTCGCCCCAATCAAGATGAGTTTCGTGCCCGTTCATTCTCATCTCCCATGCATACATTCACTGCGGAAGGTGCGAAAATGACAATCATGCGATTTCCTAACAAGGTGGCGTTTAAGGGAAGAATCTTTAGTGGTCGATACACGCGCATCTACCGTTCAAAAAAAAAAAATCCACTCGGTGGGGGACTACCCAGGAAACCAATAGAAGAGTTCCGAAGGAAGTCATTCCAACACAGTCATCACACCCATTCCATCGCATGCCAACTTTCGACTAATTACATCGAACCATCCATACAAGGAAGAAGAAGACAGAGAACCGCGACAGAAACAGACGAGAATATCAAGATAAGAGGGAAGAGTTACGTTGAGGTGGACGGAGAAGAAGAAGGTTCGACTTTACCTCCGCAAGGTCACACCAAAGAAGAGATTCGTAGTCAAGAGGGCGCATTCGCCATTAATTTCCAACATGGTCCCGGGCCAGTCATCCACTCAACTCAGATCACCTGTCCACATTTCCAACGCCGACGATCCTGGCTGTCGCGCGTCATCCTCCACCACTGCGATCGTCACCCCGCCAACGTAGTCTCGACGTGGCTTGTCTGGATCCCACGGTCCGTCGTGGCGATCTAATGACTGGCCCAGGACCATGTTGGAAATTAATGGCGAATGCGCCCTCTTGACTACGAATCTCTTCTTTGGTGTGACCTTGCGGAGGTAAAGTCAAACCTTCTTCTTCTCTGTCCACCTCAGCGTAACTCTTCCCTCTTATCTTGATATTCCCGTTTGTTTCTGTCGCGATTCTCCGTCTTCTTCTTCCTTGTATGGATGGTTCGATGTAAAAAGTCGAAAGTTGACATGTGATGGAATGGGTGTGATGACTGTGTTGGAATGACTTCCTCCGGAACTCTTCCATTAGTTTCCTGGGTAGTCCCCCACTGAGTGGATTTTTTCTTTTGAATGGTGGATGCGCGTGTATTGACCACTAAAGATTCTTCCCTTAAACGCCACCTTGTTAGGAAATCGCATGATTGTCATTTTCGCACCTTCCGCAGTGAATGTATGCATGGGAGATGAGAATGAACGGGCACGAAACTCATCTTGATTAGGGCGAGGCGATGGCAGGGGCAATGTTGTTGGGATTTGGAAATACAGGAATGTTTGATTCATGATTGTCGAAGGAATGCTGCGAATACCTATGCGACTCGCGGCCGAAGCGCAAAAATAGTGACCGCGTCTCGCCACACATGAGTTTTCTTTTCTCCTTCTCCGCACCCTATGTTTCTCCTGTTTGGCCTTTCCGGTTGGATTGCTAGAATTGCACGCACGTGATGAATGGTTAAATTTTTTATGACTGTTTGCCATGTGGACTAACGGGCTCAACCCGACTAGGCGACAGCCTCCTGTATCCCCTCTTCGTCCCTTCCCGTATAACGAGGACAGGACGCATGTCTGTGAGTGGGACATACGAGAAGTCGTCGCAAAGATCAATGGGCAGTACTATTTCCCTTCTGGAAATCGGTGTTCTGAGTTCGTAGGCGCTGGGTTTGTCATTGTGGATACGCGCTTTCCGCCGTACTCGCTGCTACTACCCTTCAACGAGTTGATCGTCATCCCGTGGACGGCGGTGGCAACCCATTGGCCTAACACCTTGTGTAGTGATTCCCAACGTTTCGATCACTACCAATCGAAGGGGTTCCACTACCGAACGAGGAACGAGAATGAGCCCAAGGAAAGGGCCACGCGATTGAGACAATCCACGTCGGATTCAGAATTGTGTAGCATGCGGTGTCGGGAGATAGTGCGAAAACGGGATACTTAACACGTGCCCACTCCCTTCCTCTCCAAACGACCGCTCGTGGCCTGGTGGGAAGTCCGACAATACTTTTTAGATTGAATTCAAAACTCCCCCGCGTCGCGAGTCCCGCGTGCAGTGAAACCCGCCAAATCGCTCACTTCATCAGACCAACACGAGGGATTTCAGTTCTATCTGTGTCCTCACACTCAATTTTTCCAAAAATCCTCGGCACACCCCATCTTGCTGTTTTTTGGGGCCT